GTTTCTGGAATATCCAATTCCCACCATTATACTTCCTGTTCTTCTTTAGAGTTGGACCACTTCTGACTACCTCATTAAATGATATGGCTTAGTTCTGCCTAATTTGAAACTTTTGCATAACGTGCATGTTACTGAATGGATTCTGTTGTTCCTTGTTTACATATTTGTTAGTGTGAGATTCATGAATGATTCTGTGAACATTTGCTTTGCTGTGTAACGTACCACAGTGTATTCATTGCATAATTCATGAGCTTTGGGGATATTTCAGATTTTAATTGTCGTGAACATTGTATATATTTATTCTTTTTTTTTTTTTTGGTACCAGGTATCGAACTCGGATCCTTGTGCTTGTGAGGCAGGCGATGGAACCACTGAGCTAGATTCTTGGCCCCACATATATTTATTCTTGAATGTATATTCTAGAGCACATGTTTAAAACTTTCTTTATTGAGATGTACCCAGAAGTAGAATAGTTGGGTCATTAGAGCATGCATATTAGCAATATCAGTAGGTTACATTGATCTGTTTTCCCAAATAATTCACTGTTCCAGCAGTAGAGAGTGTGAGTTCCTCTGCTTCTTCCATGAATGTTTCCCACTTCTCTAGCTTCCCTTCTAATCTTTCTCATCTGTCTTTTCCTGTCTTGTTCTTTATTGTAAGATCCTACATTCATCTGTTCCACTGGTATCATTTGCCTCTCATGAGCAGTGTTTGTTAATGGTTAGCACAGCCTTCCTGAACTAGACTCACATAAGCAAACACCAAGATTCTCCTGCTAAAAGAGCTAGTGAAATAGATAGGGTGTTTCTTACCTGTTGGGCTTCCAGGGAAATTCTAATCTGCAGTGAGTGACTTGAGTAGATAAAGCAGCCATCAGGGTTACGGGTTGCTTTCTGATGCTGCATAAAGCCCCATTAGTATCTGTCAGCCTCCTCTTGCCCTAGCAGAGTAGGCAGCTGTGTCCTCTGACCCCCTCTTGACATTTTGATAGGTTTCCTTTCATATCACACACTGGTGAGAGCTTTATTTCTCCTCTCAGCTAGAAAGGTCACCTCCCAAATATACCGCCTGGGATGAATTATGTCTCTATTGATTTGCTCTCGTCTCAACCACAAATTTCAGGGTGTGTTTCAGGGCAGTGCCTATTTAAAAGGGAGAAAATAACCAGAAAGTTAAAGCTAAAGCCATCTTCATTTCTTCTATGTTGTTCTAGGTTCATATCCAAGATTGTGGTAGTCTTGTTCAGCATGTACCTAATGGGACATTGGCTTCAGAACAGCCTGGAGATTAATTTCTGAAATGAAATTCATCTGTCTCACAAAAGGAATAATTTCATACTAAGGATTCCATCTGTTCCATATAAAGGGATAATCTTTTTCCTTTAACATAACTCTGGTTCTGTTTCCTTTGAACTAAAACCCTAGTCTATGCCTTGGGTTACATTTTTAAATTCTAGTGACTTAATAGTAATGAGATGTGTGTCTAGATAATTTTTTCATCTGTGAAACACACAAATATACACACACACACAATTAGATTAGATTATTATTCTAATTTCTGTTTTTGTCCCTGACTCTGCTTCACTTTGGTGACCACACATCTTATACTGAATACTCCATTCCAAACAGATGACTAGTAAAATGTTTAGGCTACAAAAACTGTCATGGCAGACCAAGAGCGAAGGAGTACTGTCTTAGAGCAAAGGGAGAGCTTCAAACCAGCCCATTTCTATTAATACAGAAGCTCTTGATCTATGAATAAAGATCTGCCAAGTATAGCCCAAGGTATTGTTCTGATGTGGCTATGTTATGATCTCTTTTAAAAATTAAAAAACCAAAAAAACCTCATAAACAATTTTATTCTTTATGAATGAAAATAAGTAGAAGAACTGATGAGAATCAATTTATTTTTGTCATTGTTCTGGTAAGGAGAAATAGATTTTTAGATCCAAAAAGAACTGTGACTCAGCTAAGCAGAAGTTAAGTCAGCAAGAAGTTACTGAATGAAGTAGTATCTTTTCACCTCTGACAGCATCAGCCTCTTTGAATGGTCTGAGAGGAATTTGGTTTCCTAAAAATGACCTTTGCTGTAACACTGTCTGAAGCCAGTTGTATCATTTGGATTGATTTGCCCACTTAGACACCTGACTATATAATAGTTTCCCTCTATACCTGTTGAATCACAAGGTTTATTGATGACTAATGTAGTAGTTTTGGTGATAGGGCATCTAGGATGGAAAGAGAGGGCATGGCATGGTAAGTGGACCCCAGGAGAACTGCAGAACAGTAGTTTGAACCTTTGGAGAGCAAAGGAATTTCCTAGGGAACTTGAGGGGAAAAAAAAACCCAAAGAGACACAGTTCTTATATCAGTGAACCTGGCCTCCATATTATTTTCCAGTTATCAAAATTATTGTGACACCTACTGAAACTTAAGACTGCTTTATAGCATCCAAGTCAGAAGCCAGGGTGTGGAATCAGGCTGACTTTGGTCCAAGTTTTTCTTTAATTTTTCATTTCTATGTCTGAAATAGAGATATGAGTAGTACCCTCATCCTAGGGTTGATGTGACATATAGTGAGAAAATACATATAAAATACTTAGTATTTTTCCTAAAGCATTCAGTTTTGGGGAGGGCATTTCTCACCCTGTAGTAAAATCAAATCACGCCGGGGATTTAGCTCAGTGGTTCCAGCGCCTGACTCGCAAGTGCAAGGTCCCGAGTTCGATCTCCAGTACCAAAAAAAAAAAAACCCAAATCAAAATGTGTAAAAGACTTAGATATTAAAACAGAAATATTGAGACTACTGCACAATAACTTAGGGAAAACACTTGAAGCCACAGGCACAGGAAGAGACTTTCTGAACAGAAGTTCAATAGCATAGGATATAGTACCAAAAATCAACAAGTGGGATTACATTAAATTTAAAAGCTTGTGCATGGCAAAAGAAAAATCAATAGAGTTAAGAAACTATGGAATAGGATTTTTTTTTTTTGCCTGCTACTTTTCCATAGAGGTTTACTATTTAAAACATAAAAAAAAAAACCCTTTCCAAAAAAGTGACCCAATAAAAACTGGGTAAATAAGCTGAATAGATGCTTCTCAAATAGCCAAGGAGTACATGAAGAAACTATTTATCATCTAGCCATTAATAAAGGCCAAATCAAAATAACTCTGAGGTTCCATCTTACCCTAGTCCAAGTGGCTATCACCAAGAACACAAAAAGCAACCATGCTGGCAATGATGTGGGGGAAAAGGAGCCCTTCAACATTATTGGTGGGAATGTAAGCTAATAGAGCCATTATGGAAATCAGTATGGAGATTCTTCAAAATACAAAAAATACACATTCCATTTAATCCAGTCATACTACTTCTAGATATATTCCCCAAAGAGTTAAGAACATCATACTAGAGTGAAACATGCGTAGCTACGTTCATAGTGACACAACTTACAATAGCTTAGCTCAGAAACAGCCTAGATGCCCTTCAGTAGACAAATGGATAAAGAAAATGTAGTATAAATACACATACCATTCAGTTGAATATTATTCAGCCATAAATAAAGATAAAATCATGTCATTTGGTGGAAAGTAGATGGAACTTGAGACCATAATGTTAAGTCAAATAAATCACACACAGAAAGTTAAATATTGCAAGGTTTCCCTTATATGAGAAATGTAAAACATACATAAGTAAGAATTAAAAGTGAGATGGTAGGGGAAAAAAGGCAGACTTGTTCGACATGGGGAAGATCATGAGGGGTATTGCTAGGGGGTTAATGGGAGGGAAAAATGTTCAAGATATGCTATATCCATGTGCCAAAACCCCAAAGAGAATGTAACTGTGATATATTGAAAACTAATGAAACTAGTAAAAATTATTTTTGTAATATTTAACTATGGATGAGGACATTTTATGGGTTTAAGGAAAATTTTGAAAATTTAAGTATGAGAAAGTAAGTCTATCTTTTTTCTATGCCTCTTGACCTTCATCTCTAACTTTGTGTAGTCTTCCCACTGCCACAAACAATACTGTGGGTGGAGAAGGTAATGTCATCTTCATTTTCACAGAGGGGTAAAAGGAAGATCAGAAATATTAAGTGTGTTCTTGCTGATGTTTCCATGAGGGAGTGAAATTAGTGGTGCTAAGATTCAAGTCCAGTGTTAGTGGCAAAAAGAATCCAATCCTTTTTTCCATTCTGATTCTCATAAGCCCTTGTATCCCTACTGAAATATTTAAAGTTACATAGTTTAAATAGGTAGCTAGACAACTCCTGGGAACTTGGTGCCTTGTGACTCTACTCATCTGGACCCATTTTATTAATAGGATTGAGATTATATGAGGCTTATTTTATTTATTCCCTCTATAAGAAGAAGTTTTTATTTCCATTTTGACCAGCAAGTCAATTATATGATGGCACAACATTAAAGGAAAGCATTCTTAAAATAACATTCACAGGTCAGTAGATGAAATGGTTGAGTTTAGACCGTGGTATAATCGTTGACCTTGGACATGTTATTTTCTCTAATCCTCTGTTTTCTTATCTGCAAAATGGGAATAATGATAGTAACTACCACATAGGTCTGTGGGATAAACAAGAGAAACATTTATGTAAAGCACAGAGACTGATCTGTAGTAAGCACTAAAAATATCACTCATTATCTTGATGATGGTGAGAGGGACAGTTCCTTCCCAGTTTAGTTTACAAGAAATCCAAAATATGTTGTGGTTATTGTCATTCCTAGGTTTCTAATGCAAACTTCATTGGGAAAATGTTATTTGTAGGCCACACATCTACCTGTCACATTGAATTTGGAATTAACCCATAGATTAGGCTTAGAATATATTTTTTCTCTTCTTCTGTTGATATTTTCTTCTGTTTTGATTGATACAAAAGAGCACCTAGTTTACTCAAAGAAAAAACACCACTGGTCATTTTTATTTCTGGACATACCAACAGCGCCCTGTAAGCACTGACCTTTTCATTTAACTCTGTTTAGGGTTTGATGCCTACTTTACATCCCGCACACTTGAAAACAACAGAAGAAATGTATGGTTTGCTGAATACTGGGAGGAAAACTTCAACTGCAAGCTGACGATTAGTGGGTCAAAAAAAGAAGACACAGATCGCAAATGCACAGGTAATTTCATTCTTGTTGTCCTTTACCTGTTATTTTATGTGGCTCACATTGACATGTCTGCATAGCTGACAGAAGGAAGCTTGGCTGGAGACAAATTGAAAAAGCAAATTGAATTTTACTACATTGTTCAGAAAATGGAGCAGGAGCATAAGTCTTGCAGGACAAGAGAAGTACAGACAAGAATGTATTTTTCTCTGCCTGTCCGTCTAGCAGTAATTGACATTTTCACTCATTCTTTAAATTCAGAAGGGGTCGTGTTGCTTTGAATGCTTTCACTGATAAATATTAGTTTATGTTCTAGGAAAGACTTTGAAGTCATTTTTGCAAAGACAAAAATCTCTGAGAAATACCAAACCCTCACCAGATTTAACTGTTAGCACGGATGGTATATTTGATTGAGGAAACAAAGTGCTTGTGTTTATAAGAATGAAAATTCCAAAAGATTTCCATAATGTCTAAGTGAATTATTTTCTACTTAAAATGTTTTAAAATACTTTTAGAATATATGACTTTGCACATGATTATCCCAAATGAAAACTGTAAGTAGAAGGGAAGTCATATATTCATTAATTTATTCATTTCCAAATAATTATTAAACAACTTACTTTCTGTTGAGCCATTTTCTAGGGCAGTGATGGCAAACCTTTGAGAGACTGTGCACCCAAACTGCAGCCCCAAACCCACTTATTTATTGTAAACTGAAAACACTGCAATTAAACCTGAATACTGAGGTTTTAGTTTAGAAAAACAACTCAACTTTAACATCTTTTGTCTTAAATGAAAGACATAATAGAGCTTTCAGTGATGTAAACAGCTTTTTATCAAAAGGCAAAAGTTTGCATTTGGTGTGCCTTTACACAGTTAATGTGATCTTTGCTGTTGTGTGCATGCTGATAATTTGTCAAACCTTGGCTCATACATACTTCATTACAGACCAACACATGAAGCACTCAAGTCATCTGTTACTCTGTTTCTTGTATCAGATTCGATTTAATTCAAAGCTGAAAACAGCTGCTCACAAGCATAAGATGATCCAAACAAAGTAAGAAAAGCAACCTGAAGTGCTTTTCATTGACTTAAAATGATTTGACAGAGATTTCCATACTTTAAGGATTTTATTTTCAGAACTACCTTGCAGATTTCATGATGACTTGTAAGATTGTCTGCAAATCTTGTAGAATTTTCTAAATGCATCTTTAAAGTTGGAAAATATTTTAGCTTCCTACTTTCAAGGTCTCTTAAAAACCTGCAGTTTTCTTTCAAACATTTTGATATTACAAAACATCCTTTCTGCTGTTCTCCTTCATCTCGTAGTGTTTTGTTCAGTACATTGAGCTGTAGTGTAAAATCTATAAAAATCATGAGGTTGTTGAGCCAGGTCATGTCAGTGAGCTGTGGATATTCCTGCCCCTTTTCATTCATAAACAGTCTAATTTCACTCAAGCAGGCTACAAATGTCTTCAGAATTTGTCCTCTGCTCAGCCACTGGACATTATTTTACATAAGTTAGTCATTACAATGTGCCTGAACCTTAAGAAGTACTTGAAATTGTCAAAAATTAAGAGCATGAGACATGATATAATTAACCATATTTGTAAAATCTTTGAGGCTATCATCTAATTTTTTGGTACTTTCCTTGGCACAAAGAGCTTCTTCATGTATGATATAATGAAAATTGAATGACTAGATATTTTGCTTCTTTAACAAAGAACTATATGAAACAAGTTGTTGCCCTTACCATGCAAGGTGTTCCATCAGTAGTAATTAAAACCATTTTTTTTCTGTTCTTATGTCTTGTGGGAAAAAAAGCCTCTATCACAGCATTATAGATACCTATCCCTTGTGTTTTTCCAGGCAAAGATACAAGATTCACCAGCTCTTCTCCCATGATGTCTCCAATAGCATAATGTAAAATTACTGCTTGCCTTGCATGATTATTTATATCTATGCTTTCATCTAAGCACATGTAGGAGCAAGCTGCTTTTTGTAAGTCAGTGGTGAACTGCTGACGAACATTACTTGCCATGCACAAAACTCAGTCTTCAATAGGATTTCTGTTATGTGACATCTCAGCGATGTGTTGCATAATTTTATCCTTTCTTGGGATATCATGATAAGGGAATTACTTCCAGAAAACATTGCCTCTTTGATACAATTCCCATCAGTAAGGAGCTTACCATGTTTTGCTATACCCAGGGAAATTTGAAAGCTGGCACCTGTCAGATAATTTGTTTTAGAATGGTAGTTGCAAAAACTAAGACACTAGGAATGATATTTCCTCAATCTTCTTTTAAGAAACTTTTCTTTTAGTTTCACGAAGTTCAGCAATACTTTGTGTTTGGTGTCAAAGTGCCATCTGATACTCAATGTGTGACATGCAACACATTCACTTCAGAATACATAATGTTTTCAATCATTGCATTCAATCACTCCAAATGACCCTGCTCAGGCTTCATTGAATAATCTGCCACTATCTATTTTCAGTTTAGGTTTTTTGTTTTGCTGTTGTCATTTTTTATTGGTCAGGACTTAAGAGTCTACAAACACACACACACACATACACACACACACACACACACACACACACACACAAAAAAAACCACCCTGTACAAATCTATCCCCATACTAAAAATAGATAACATTAAAGAATTTATATTCTTTGAATAAAAAATCTACAGCAGTGATTCTCAGCTGGTGTTCTTCTACAATATTCTGAGCACCATCACAAGGCTGCAATGTTCCACTGACCACCAGCTTTTAGCCTGCTCTGAAAAAGGTATCTGAGTGCATTTCCTACCATGTAGCAGCTTCTGCTAAAGTCATACCTGGTCCAAGCAAATATATATAGCTTTGTTCTTGTTTTCATAAATTCTTCACGAACAACTAAATGTGATGTTGCAGATTCAAATACACCAGGGGCCCACCACAATATTAAAAGCATCTCAGTCTCTTAATTAGAAAAACTCTTTGCTAAATCTCAGATACTAAATTTCAATTTTTCATAAGAAAACTCAAAGCTAAAATCTTGTGTTAATTAACATAAATGCATTAAAACTCACAACCAGTCCAAGCAAATATATCCTTGGCAGCGCACTGACCAGCTGGCATTCAGAAGCTTGGAAGAGTCATGGCTAATGAGTCATTGCTCCTGATATCATTACCTAACACTACTACTCCCTTCTGAGGATGTACATGGCACTATGCACTGTTAGCCAATGCTCAGCTGCTAGGGCAATGCTGGCATGATTTGGCTCACTTGCTGAAAGAGAGGGCTCTGTGTGCCTGCTGTGGCATGTGTGCCATATGCTTGCCACCACTATTCTAGGCATTGGTAGTTTTATTGCAAGAAAACCAGGTGAGGATTCTGCTTTCATGTTGATTAGAGTCAAATCAGGGGAAATTTAACATTATTCTAATGATCTCTCTAATAAATAATTATAAAAACCAATACATGTTCTTACAGATATGAACACATATCAATAATGAATTTAAGTCAAATTGAAGGTGGAGGCTTTCTCTACAGACTTTCTTAGGTGAGAATGGCTGCTATCAAGAAATCAACCAATAACAAATGCTGGTGGAGGTGTGGAGAGAAAGGAACCCTTCTTGAGAGAAAGGAACCCTTGTTGGTGGGAGGGCAGACTGGTACAACCATTGTGGAAACCCGTATGGAGATACCTCAAAGAACTAGGACTAGAGGTCCCATTTAACCCAGCTGTTCCCCTACTGGGTATCTTCCCCAAAGAATTAAAAGAATCATACCACAGCGATATATGTGCACCTATGTTTATAGCAGCACAATTTGTAATAGCTAAGGTTTGGAAATAGCCCAAGTGCCCATCAACTGGAAACTGGATAAAGAACGTGGTTTTTTTATAAAATGGAGTGCTGCTCAGGCATAAAGAATGAGAAACTACAAACATTTATAGCTAAATGGATGCATATTGAGGCTATACCCTTAAGTGAAATAAATAGGACACACATATGTAAATACCGAATAGTTTCTCTCGTGTGAGAAATTGAAAGTGTAAATAAGGATGAAAATGATTAAAATGAATAATTAATAATTTGAAATAGGAAAAGGTCCAAAGGCAGAGGGGTGGCAGGAGGGGAAGGGGAAAGGGAAGAAAGAAAAGGAAAAATTATGAGAAAAAAATGGAAACAAAGTCTATGTAAATAAGGAAGGGTGCAGGGGGTGAAGGACGCATAGGTAATGGGGAAAAAATAAGAACTAAGATACATCTTGTTCAGGTACAAACACCCAATGATAAGTGTAAATATATTGTATACCTAAAATGTACCAATTAATATATAAATTAAAAAAGACTTTCTTAGGGGAATGATTCTTAAGTCAAAATCTGATGATGGTGAGCAAGAAGGAGAAAAAAATCAATTGGACAGTTTCTTATATAAGAGTAACTTGACAAAGAGATCTTATAAAGGAAGTTATTGAAATGCTGAGGCTGTGAGTAACAAAAAAATGTAACATAAATATAGAGAATAAGAGGAAAATTTGTAAGCTGAGGCTGCAGGTGTAGAGAGATGAGCAGGTACTTGGACACCTGGTATTTGGTCTTTATCCTGAATATTGTATAATCATGGAAGGATGTTACTCAAGGATATGATATAATGTATCATCTTATTACCTAGACCTCTGTTAAATAGTATCCCCCAACTCTACCCCAGTAGAGTTCAACATTTGGAATGGTGACCTTAAGTTATCCTCAAATCCTAAAATGTCTTCAGTATAAACAAGAAAGTGGCATTCATATTGAACAAAATTCTGTGTTTAGTTTATCTTTGGAGTATGGCCCTTTTAATTTTGGTCATCTAGAGGTTATATATTAAGCCACTGAATAAGCAAGTACAGTGGCACCTCAGTTCTCGAACTCAATTCATTTTACATTTCTGGGAAAGATGGCTGTATTCTTGTTTGTGCAGGGAAGATAGCTGTGGTCATGTTCATCAGCTTGTGCAGAGTTCTATCAAACTGAACTGCT